CGCTATGATAAGGGGTAAGGTTCAACTGCCTTCCCCTAAAAAAAAAAAGTAAAAAAAAAAAAAACCAACCCCTCCCCAAAACCCCCAAAGATAACAAAAGTAAAATCCCCATCCCAAAATTCCCTCCATGTGTCAAGAGCAAATTTGATTTTAAATCTATGTGCCTAGGTAAGGTGTTTTGTTATCTGAACCAAAACCACAAATTAGTCCCTCCAGTGACCATAGACTCATATCTTTAGTACCTATATTTTTAAATTTGTTAAGGCGAGGTGAGCCTTGTTGATATTTTTCCAAGTGATTTTTTAAATTGTTGTTTATACTACAAGGTATTGGCTGTCAACTGTTCCCTATCAGGCAGCAAGTTCTAAGGTCTAGGTTCTTTCAGAATGAGCTTAGCATTGTGAACAGATGAGAGTGTTTGACCCTGTCACATGGAATGGGGTCCTGCCAATCTTAATTGGTCTGACAGGCTAACATGGTGGATCTGAATATATCAGTTACTCATGAGAGACTTCTTTGGCTATATAAACTACAGTCCCTGACAAATTACCTCATGGGTCCATAAATCATTCTTGGCCCAAGTTTTGGGACATTTTTCAGTTAACTTTCACTACTCTGATACTTAAGATTTGATGACAGCTCTTAGCAATGGAACTACTTTTCTGTTATCCGGATTGTCTGAATTCTTGTCTGTAGAGTTGAGGTCAGTGAAATATGAGCAAACTGAACTTAGATGTCTGAGTGACTCTTGGATACCACAAGTTTCTCAGTGCCCAATGTAAAAACTGACACATATCAATTGATGGTGATGACAGGAAATAGTCGCTCTAGCCAGAACCTGCTACTGTAAGTCCTGCTCAGGAACATCAATCAAGAATGATGCTTGCTGTAGCGGACTTGACATTTTATACTAGCAATTTTAGACAAAAGAAGATTATTGCATTTATATGTATTTGTTATTTTCTTCTTTTTTGCTTTGCTTTCAATAGGGCACAGGAAAGATCATAATAAAATAGGCTCAACTTGAATTCTACTTCATATCAAGACATTACTTTTTTGTTTCAGTGTTGAGCCCCCTCACCATGTCCTAATACCAATTACTACATATTGAAATCCCTGGGAAAATGTCAGATTGCAGTAATAGTCTCACGTTGTCACTGTTAGAGTTCTAGGATAGGAAGGCAGTGGTGATATTTTTGAAAGCTGTTATCATTAGGGTCTTTGGGATAGACACTAATTCATAAGAAATGAACCACTTGGCAGTGAGTCAAACAAAACTTCTAGTGTTTGTAAGGGTCAGGGAACCTGGATTTGGTTATATGTTGGCACAGAGAATGTACAAAGGCCATAAAAGCTCCACTCTCAGACTTGCTGTATGGCTATTGGCCACTGAACTGGTTGGTGAGACAATGTTCTTCAAACTTAAAGGTGTAAGCTCTTCCAATCCAGATTTCTGGATGAAAATAATCATGCAATAACTTATATATCTCAGTTACCACCCTATTGCCTGCAAGATCACATGCACACCAAAATAGCTATGAAATGGCCCAACACAAAGCTGTAAATGTACTTAACATTATGAGGGTTTTTTGCATTTAAAATATTTTATTTATTATTTTTATTCTATATGCATGAGTGTATTAAGTGCACTGATGCATGTAAGTGCACCCGTGCCATGTAATTCCCAGAAGTCAGAGGTGGTTTTGAATCCCTTGGAACTGGAGTTACAGACAGTTGTTAGCCACAACTGGATGCTGGGAATTGAACCCGGGTCCTCTGCAAGAGCAGCCAGTGCCCTTAGCCAGTGCTGAGCCATCTCTTCAGCCCTGTATTTTTTTTTAATAATTCATAGTTTTTAAGCATGAATTTTGAGAATGTTCTGTTGCAGTGTCAAAAACTTGGATACACCTGCTAGAATATGCTTGGCATTGTCTGTTGAAAATAAAGATTTGAAATGGGACTTAGTATGATTTTATTAAGGGGTGAAAAGTAGAGAGTCTGATATTGAAGATCCAGTAACAATATTAAGAACTTGTTTTCCATTCCAGACTAATTTCTCTTTGGGCAAAGGGGACAATAATTCTAACAGCCTTTCTCAGAAATTTCCATTCTTACAGGGTCACCAGAGGCAGCAGCACTGGTAAATAAATAAAAGTTTATTTAAATAAAAAATTTTATTTAAGCAGAGTGGAAATATTCTTTACAGGCCAGTTACAAATTGGACAAGTCAAAGAACACATCCTGGGAAGAAATTTGCTGTGGATTCCATTTCTCTATTTTTTTTTTTTTTTTTTGTATACTGCTGTTTTTCTTCCTGGGGTCATATCTCAGGCTGAAGTCAATCAATTATCTATAGCAAATAAAAAGTGCAAAAGTGCCTCTTCATTATTGTTCTTTATGCCTTATCACTAAACAAAACAATTTTTTCATAGTTTTTTTTTTCAGAGGTGATGACACAAAAACACAATGGAACATTTTATAACTTATCTTGCCACTTTGAAATCATAGTTATTGAATTTAGTTACTTGAAAGCTTTTTAGAAGGACTTTGGTTGCTGTTAATAACACACTTGGTATAAAATTTGTTAAAGGTACACAGTTTGCTGAGCAATTGGAAGGATTTACCATTAGGCAAACTATTTTGAACACCTAAAGAGTGTGGTGTTGGGGCTGTGTGTTGCTTTCTTCTTATTTTAGTCAAAACTAGCGTAGTAATTTCAACTTTAAATGTTTTCCTAGGTTCTTTAATAAATAAAAATCTAGAAGCATGCTACAGTAAATAGCAGGTGTAATTAACAGTTAGAATTAAATGGGAAATAAGACAGAGGTAGAGGACGACAGTAAGACCCAGCGACCCAAAACACAGTCAACTCCCCTGATTCTGACTCCGAAGACTGCTTCAGCTCTTTCACTGAGAGTTATTCCTGTGGCCTAATAGCCAGGGTCCAGTGGAGCTGGGTAGTAACTTATCGTCCCAGCTTCCTCAGCACAGTGACTTCCTCTTCCTTACAGAGCATGCAGTTGTGCCCCTTTTCTCTCCTCCCTGTAAGCCGTGCTGACCTGTGTTCCCGGGAGTAGATGAACAGGCTGCCCTATCAGGAGCAGTAGCTCTAAAACTGTTCTGGAAAATTATCTGTTTTCCTCCCAATGAGTATTTTGGTTTCAAGTTTATTTCAGGGACATAAGCCTCCCTGGATTCATACTTAGTAATACATGATCCTACGAAAGTATAGGAATAGAGAAAGAAAAAATAAAATAGAAACCTATTCAGTTGCCCAAGCAACTTAGTGTGTATCATTTCCTGTCAGCAGTTCTCCTACTAAAAATAAAAAGGAAGCTGAAAGTTACCTCAGGGATTTGCTGCGGACTTACCCTTTGGTGTCTGGGGTGGCTCTGATCCTTTAATGCCGGCTGGGTTGGGACTGCCTCGCCAGAAGACCTTGCTCCAGCTTCAGACTCATCTCTGCCAGATCACCTGTCCTCCTTCCCTCAGGCAATGAAGCTGTGATTTTTCTCTGACCCTTTCCAGGCAAAGGGACTCTAGATAAACAGATTCTTGTGTGGAATATTTCATCTGCGGTGCTCCAGTGCAGCCCTTTCAGCTTTCCAGAGCCAGTTAGACTTGTTATGAGGACCTAACTGATTGGCTGATCTGGGCTCAGTTTCATAGATTATAGCCCGGCGGTTGGAAAGCTCAAGCCCTATAGTTGCTGTAGTCCAGAGGCCTGCCAGTTCCTGTCTTAATGCATATGTTATAATTGAGTCCTAGCACGGCCTTGGATGTTTCTGTCCTAAATAGATGACATTGCATCTTCAAGACGGTGTGAGTAATCCAGATTTTTTTTTTTTTTTTTTTTTAAAGCTCAGAAAATTATGTGCTAATAGCTGAATTTGTTTGCTGGACCTCTCAAGAGTTTTTAATTCCGTAGGTGCCAACTAGCTGTACAGACCACAACTAGCTGTACAGACTACATGCCCTGGGAGGGAGTGATTGCAAAGAGAAAATACAGAACTAGCAGATGATTCATTTTCAAGGTGCTGTGCTGTAGTATCAGGTTCAACGATGAATCTTAAAGCTTCTAGGACCTGGCAGGGGTATTCCAGTTTTGCCCCCGAATCACAGCCAAACTGCATCGAAGGTGGCTGTTGGATGCATTTGTTAGCCCTGCTTGTTTTATTGGGAGGGAGTGATTGCAAAGAGAAAATACAGAACTAGCAGATGATTCATTTTCAAGGTGCTGTGCTGTAGTATCAGGTTCAACGATGAATCTTAAAGCTTCTAGGACCTGGCAGGGGTATTCCAGTTTTGCCCCCGAATCACAGCCAAACTGCATCGAAGGTGGCTGTTGGATGCATTTGTTAGCCCTGCTTGTTTTATGGGGGTCTATAAAGTGATAAAGGTGCAACATGAGCAGGTTGAAACAGAATACAGTGATCTCAAAGCATTGACTTAGCACCGGAGTCAGGCAAGTTGCAGGGTTTCCCACCCCCTCTGTCCAAGACCGAGAGTGAGCAGCCAAGGAAAAGAACTCCTTTGGGGACATAGGTACCCAGCAGTTAGCGCACCGGGAAGGAAAACGCGCAGTGACGGCTGTGATACTTTTCTTGTCTGTAATCTGAAACTAATTTAAGACATGCACTATGAATAACTAAAAAAAAAAAAATTATGTGTACAAAATTGCTCTTTGCTCGTTCTGTTTGTGTGGTAGAGGGCTGAAGAGGAAGCCAGGAGCTTGTTTTCAAACGCTGCGGGAGAAGCAGATAAAACACACACACAATCCTAACGCAAGAAAATATGTGGATTGGAATTTGTGGCTGGAGCAGATAAAATTTTCCCAGGAAGCCCTTGTTAGCTTTGTGTAATTGTTGGTGGTAACTTGTCTTGTTAACAAGGTTTAGGGTAAAGCTGAGACGACTGATAGGAGACAGAAAACATCGGCGCTAAGTCCTGTAGCACGCATAGGGCACGTTGCAGTCAGAGTAGAAACTAGTAAATGTAAACGGTTCGTGTTTTACTTTGAAATCACTGTCGAGCTCTCCTAGCCAAAATACTAATTAGTAAGCAAAATGCTAATAATTAGAGCGTTTGCTAATGGAGTTAGTGCTCAGAAATAATTTTTCTTCTTTCCAAATACTTTTTAGACTTTCTTCTGAACACTGCTCAAAGCTAAGCCATTTCTTATAGTTCTGGGTGGTTTTCCAGGTTGCTTTTCATCCAGGTTTTCCTCTTTAGACTTGCAGATTCAAATACAAGCATTTGTGATAAACCTGTCTCAAGCATAAGTCATTTGAACAGTTTTAAAAATCATGGGTCCTGTAGCAAATATAAACTTCTAATAGGTATAGCAATTACTTGCCAATTCCTATAAAAAGAACATTTACAGACTTAAAGCAGTTTATTTTTAGTTGTGCCTATTTAAGCAGTTGACACGATTTTGCCTATAGAGAAATATTCATTGTGTTTTTGCAATGTTTTAATTTTAGATCACACTGGGAGTGTAAAAGTTTATTGTTAATTTTTTTTTCTTTCTGGGATATGACCAGTTTTAGATCACACCAAGGAATGAAGTTCAGAAAAGAAAGTCTTCAACATAAGATCCTTTTCTATATCAACCAGATACACATAAAATAGCTTTTAAAAAATGAAAATCCAGTATAGACTTTTAGAAATGCATTTACTTTATGAGGAAATGGTATAATGAGTTCCTTCACTGTGACAAAACAGTGAGTTCATTTATTAAAATAGCCATAGGTGCTAGTAACAATGGTTGATTGACTTTTAGGAATTCATTCCTAATCCATGGTTTCAGTGGAAGAAGGTAGAGCATCTATGACAGCAATGCACTCCTTCTTTGGGAATTTGGGACCATCCAAGAGTAAGAGGTGGTGGGGTGGACGCTGTCTTGAAGGGACTGGCCTTTGATGGCCCACTTAACTCCCTTTCTCATCTAGTCTTGGGGTCACTGTAGTTCTTTTAAGGTAATTTTTCACTCTGCCTTTTTTCTGCCTTTTTTTACACAACCTTTCTTGGGCTTTTGCTGAGATAAATCAAATGACTTATGAGTTATTATCAAGCATGAATTGGTTGTATGTACAACTCAGCATTTAAAACTAGGAATCAGAGAGATTCTTGTGAGTTACCAAGAGGGGCATGTGTATCTTGTGTTGGCACTTCCTCTAGGCCCTCCATGTCTGCAACTCTCCTGGAGAAGTTGGGGTCCCAGCTTTTATTGTGGAAGGGCAGGAGATTAAGAAAAGGAATTCAGGGTTGCCAGATGCCCAGTGAACAGTGGGCTGTGGGAAAAATATCACCTAAACAGCAGCATTTGATCTTCCTTCTCTGTGCCTCTCTGTTTTCTAAAGTTCTTTTTTGTCTGACTCTGGAAATTCTTTTGCAGACAAGCTTCTGTAAAACTATGCACAGCTTCCATAGACAGATGGATTTGACAAAAGATGTATCCAAGGAGGAACGTATTACATAATGAACTTGCTAAGTGTTCATGGATACACAGTGGCATTTGGAAACTCTAAATACTAACTACTAGTGCAATGACATCAATCCAAATTGAAAAAAAATATTTCTTGATTGAATTACACTTTCCAGTGTTATTTAAAATTTTGTTTTTGGAAAATCTTGCTCTTCTCTATGACATTTTCTGTGTATTTCACAGAGAACAAAGAATTATTTCTAGTTCATGTTTTCAAGAGTCGATATCCAACCTTGAGCATGTTTTAAAGAAAGCAAAGCAAAACAAATGTAGCAAACACTTCACTTTAAAAAGTAATCATGTCCTACTAAGGAGTAGAATGCTTTAGATCTATATCATTCTCTCCTTTTGTGGGGAAGACACTACCCATTGGTGTAGGAGAGGCTCATTTAAATCCTAGACAATCAATGATCACATTTTAATTATATACATCAGCAGGTGACATGATTTCCTGTTATATTGACCTGCAGCCAAAATTGCGATGCCTCTGATTTCAAGAAGTGGAACGTTTCAGAGAATCAGACTTGTCAGTAGGTTCATGCTCAGACCATGAAATATTTCTAAGCCTCAGTTTCTGCCTCCGAAATGGAAATATGATAAATGTTCTGGAATTTGAATGGATTGTTCAATTTCCCCATGACAATGAGAAAGTGCTTGTGAGAGGACATTGTCAAGTGTAATTTATAATGCATCGTACAACTACAGGTGATTACTATTACGGCAGTTCCTTGCACCAGGGCCTATATCCTTTCCTCCTGAAAGCACACTCCCAGTAATGAGGAATAATACCAAAGCAAAACAAGTCCTTGTCCAGTGTTGAAAGTTATGAAGGCTTTGGAGCTTATCTGCTCATTGCTTGAGTGTTGAAAATACAAGTGGCTTTCCTGTGATAAGAGAATGTGGACATGTGTGTGCAAACATGTTTAGTTAGCTCCTTGGTGCTGTTTAAATGTCACTTATTGAAACTATTATTGGTCTTTTGATAAAAGGTGTTTATAATTTATCACCTTTTAAAATGGAAAATATCAGATACTTTTTTATTTATTAGTTAACTTTTTAAGCTATGTGAATTTCCTTCAAACAGGATGGATTTATTTGGTGGCTAAGCTGTGCCATAATTTTCTTTCCACTTGTGTAAAACGCTATGCCAATAGTTGGGTAAGCAGCCCTGTGCAGCTGCACTTAGAACCACTGATGACATAGTTTTTATAGGACATCATTTCCTCTCAGGAAAAAATGAGTTTGAAACTTAGAATGATAGATGTTCTTGGGTTTCTCTCCTCTTTTAAAGTTTTAATTTATTTATTGACAATTTCATACATGTACAATGTAATGTATTTTTGCCTTTAAATTGTCTTAAATATATTTAATTGTAAAAAAAAAGCACTCCAACTGAAAAATTGGCAAAGGAAATGAAAAGCTTATTCACAAAAGAATAAATTTAAATAACCAATTGTGAACAAGAATAAATAATACTTCAAGAAGAACTGTATTTGGGCCCTGATGGTTAAGACACCATTTTAGATACTTTCATGATACGGGTAGTGCATCACTTACTATTTGTAATTAGAAAAGCAATTGACTATCATTATTATTTTAAATTTTGTTGCTATTCTATAGTATACATTTTAAAATTTTTTCCAGCTTTTTAAATTGAAGTTTTGTGATTTTCATACAATATAATTTGATGGTATTTAGGTCCCCTCCTCTATCAGCAACTCCCCTTATTGCCCCCTGCCCAATTTAATGTACTCATTCATGTATATATATGTATATATAATAAGGCCTATAGCGTCTAATTTGTGTCTCCAAATGTCCTTCAGTGTGGGTCTATCCACTGGAGTCTGATTAACCTACCAAGATTCCCATTCTTGAAAGGGACGGTTTCTGCATCTCTCAGCAGCCATTTGTTGTCACAATTTTGGTGGGGGTTGGAACTTCTTATCCACTTCTTCATGTCTATGCTGCGAATTTTTCTGGTTTGAGATTGCATGGGACTTGTGTATGTTGTTGCCATTGCTATGAGTTCATATGAGTAACTGAACAGCTGCCTGAAAAACTCTGATTTCCTTGTGGTCATCCACTACCTCTGGTTCTTACAATCTTTCTACACCCTGAGCCTTGGGAAGCAGAAGTTTGATATAGGTGTCCTATTCAGGAATAAACAGTCTGTAGCCTCTTGTTCTCTGCCCATAGTCCTGTTGTGGGTTTCTGTGTTGATCACCGTTTGTTGCATAAGGAAACTTCTCTGATGAGAGTTGTGA